TCTGTCACTGATTCTGTGTGAGTCTCTACAATAATCTCACAGCCGGGGAGTGAAAAGGGTGAGTTTCATGACCTCAGGATTGCTAATACAATACAAGATAATCAATTTATTTGCTTCTGAAAATAAATGCATTCGCTAGCCAGATCAAGAACTTCAACACCAACGACACGAGGAGGTGGGGCTCATGGGAAATGCAGTCTTCATTCTGGGAAACATTACTGCTTTTATCGACAAGGGCTGCAAACATCAACACCAAAAAAGTCATAACAGGGGTGTTAAAAGTTTCTAAATCTACCAAGAAAGTCTCTAAGTTGGCAATGCAGTTCTTGGGTAAGGCATTTCCAAATGCTCGCTATTACCCTCTACTAGCTTGGACCAACACCAATCCAATGGGCAGACCGAATACTAACAGCAAAAATAAAGTATAATAATTCCACTGATTTGACTGACACCATTATATTAACAAAGTCTTGGGAGCCCTTTGACCAATATTTTTCCGCAGACTTCCTAAATCACACAGGGCTTCCTTTCCCTACAGGTCTCAATAAAATGAATGAGTATGCATTTCGTGATGTAATTTTATTGGATAAGACCATCTCTGTCTTATTTTGAATGGAAACAATCAAAAAAGCTTAATCTACTATTTTGTTTTGTTTGTGTACATTCAACAGTATTAGTACTGACACCTAATCCAGGACAGAGCCATACACCTCCACCTCACACAGGGTCAGGTACTCTTCTCTTCCAGGGATAACAATGTTAACATAGCGGCCATCCATCCCGTTACACTGGAATTCAGTAGAAGCACCTGCTGGGATGCTTGTGATCACAGCACACCTGGTAGAAGAAGAAGAAATCACTTCATTATGGCGATAATGTAAAAAAAGTTACCACATTTATATTTAATTATATTGGTATTGCAATTAATTAACAGTCAGTAAACTACCTGGGATTGTTGTTGCCGTTGTTGTCGAGGGAATCTCCAATTCGGATCTCAGCTCCATTGATTCGTTTTTCAAATGAATCTCGGTTGGTTACCTTAACAGAAAACACTCTGTGGGTTTTGCTCAGATCCATTCGCCACCAGGGGTTCATTGTGTTTTTTGTGTGAGTGCAGGAGGCCATTTCCCAATTGTTGGCTTGATTCCCATCAATGGCATTATATGCAATACCAGATTCAAACAATGACGACTGTGTGGCTTTTCCTCGGAGGGCCAGGTTCTCTCCTGCAACAAAAATATGGTCTCAGCGCTGATATTGAGGTTTTGTTTGTTGTTTTTGGTGTTTAATGTTCTCTGCTGCATCTAGACTGTTTGTAATCTGTCTCTGGCAAGCCCCACGCTTTATGGAAGAGCAATTCTGCTTTCACGACTGAGCACTTTGAATTTACCTTGTTGTTGCTTGTTTATACTAATAACAGGTTTATTAGTATAAGGCCTTGCCACTGTGGCAAATAGATGTTTAGATTAATTAAACACTTACATCGGGGCCATGCTACAGCACTCATACAATGAGCTTGTCTCTAATAATTTAACACTGTGGACAGTATTTATCACCCTTGTTTTCCTACCAGCTAAGGCACGTTAAAGAGAACTGAATACTATGTTCAAACAAAAAGCCTCTGAGAGTCCAGCTAAATATCAAAGACGTCCAAGATTAGTAGCATGCAGCTCTTCTAGATTTTCAAAATGTTATGGGACGGAATGGATCAAATTGTGATCAAAGTAAGAATCATTTTGGGCGAGTTGGGCAACCGTCACTGAAATCTGCTGTGGTTCTTGTGGGACCTGCAGGCTGGATAACCTCTGATCTCTGTATTATTTAGCTACTGATATAATTAGAATTACCTAAATTGCAAATATACAATATGGTATGACTCAAATTCTCACCAGTTGGGGCTCGGTACCCATGAACCTCCACTTCACAGAGTGTAAGAACCTTGTTTGTACCAGGTAGAAGCACAGTCACGTAACGTCCCTCCACACGTTCAGTGAAACTGATAGTATGTGAGATCCCTGCAGGGATATGAGAAATTAAACCAACCCTAAAAGAGACACAAGAAGAGAGAAAGCAGCACATTAATGATGTTCATCTACGTAGTGTCATGGTTAGGAAACAGGTCTGTTGTGACTGCACTGACTGGACTGAGGTTAAAGGTAAAGGTAAAATGTAATGAACATTGAACAGAATTGTGGGTCTAGCTGTCACTGTTTTCACTTATAACTGTTAATATGCACTCACCTTGGGTTTGCAACACCATTTTCTTGTATAGAGTTGCCGATGTGAATCTCCACCCCGTTGAGCCTTTCTGGACAGCAGTCTCCTCTGTTGGTGATGGTGATGGAGGTGACGATGTAGGGCTCCAGTAGGTCCACTCTCCACCAGGGGTTGGTCTGTTCAATAGTGTGGGTGCACGATCCAGCTTCGAAGTCAGAGTTACGGTTTCCATCAATGGCGTTGTAGGCGGCTCCAAATGTGTGCAAATAACGTGCCGACTGAGTCGCTTTTCCACGCAAGGCCACATTTTCTATGAAGGACACAGTTGATATCGATATAAAAGATATAATAATAGACTGTTTGTGAATTTTGATCGTGTACCTGGCATCATGGATTCCCAGAAATACCAGGCCATTTTAAAGAGTAACGTGATGCCTTCTGTTAACATATTAAACCTTAGTGATCAATGGACTTTCCAGCAAGACAATGATCCCAAGCACATCTCCAAGTCAACCAAAGCTTGGTTGAGAAAAAGATCCTGGAACATCCTGAAGTGGCCTGTTCAGTCACTAGATTTAACTTTGGTGGAATTTAAAGAAGGCAGCACGGAAGCCATCAAACATCACTGAGATAGAGACTTTTGCACGTGAACAATGGGAAAAGATTGTGATCGAGAGGTGAAAGAACCAAAAAACGTTTGTTAGACGTTGGGATGCGCCACAAAGTACTGAAGCTGGGGGTTGAATAATACTGCACGTGTTAAAAGAGTTACAGCTTTCATTTGAACTTCAAAGTTAAGTCAACTTCTGTTGTCAAAATAAATCATATGTATCAAATATATTGTTTAATGAGGTTTTTTGTCATTTATTGTCACTATAATGTTTTCTGAGGTGAGGGGGTTGATTATTTCTGATTGCAACTGTAAATACAGGATATTTTTTACATTATACTTACTATAGTTGTAAGCTGAACACGCCCCTAAGAGGAGCAGCAACAGAAATACCACACTGTGCCTCATTATTCTGGTTGAGAAAGACAAGAGAGAGAATTGTTAAAAGCATTAAAGCTCCAAATGGCATCTCCAAGTACATTTTGACTGATGAAAGTCTTCAAGAAGAAGATGACATGACTTTGTCGCAATTATCTTGAATGAAGACTAGCTGCAAACAAAAAGAGAAGGAAGAAGAATGAACAATCGAAAAGAGGCTGGTTAAGTCTCTGATTGGCTATCCCTGCTTTGAACATGTGATTGATCATGTGATCATTTTTGATCTGCTCTTAAAGTTTACTGCAACACTTTGCTGCAAGTACGAATGAAACGATCTATTCTTTCACACGGCTCTTACCAACAACTAAAAACCAGCACGAGACGTAGTCTTTTCTGATGTCTCTTCTTAGGTTCCTCTGTCGTCCTCTTAACTTTTTTCCCCTCGGCCAGTAGCTATCTTTATAGAAGCTGCTCTATCAAAATGATTTTGAAGTAGTTTTTTTAATTTAGAAAAATAATAATAAAATAATGTTGCTTGAAATGTAGATATTAGGGGTAAAGGGGAGGAAAACAAGAGTATGGGGAACATGGGACTAACTATTGGACATTTTAGAGGACACGAATTATAGGATATAAGTATTTTTGTAAATGTATATCATTAGGTTGTATTTTTGTTATCGATTCATAGTTCTTCACTAACATATCTGTACAGCATAATTATCATAAATCTTATATTCATGTGCACAACGCATTCCTGTTACTCCAGCTTTTAATGTTTGTAGTGCAGAATGACTGTTGCATTTCTTTTCTTTGTTGTGGATTATTTATATAGCACCAATGGACCCCGAGAAACACTCGTTTTAGCTCATCTGTTATCATTTGGTGCTATACAAATATAAATAATAAATAAATAAAGATGCAAAATGACAACAATTTGTAAAATACGAGATGCATTGATGAAATAACTAAAGTGCTTACCCTGCTTCCTGGTTAGAACAGATCTTTTATCCCTGGAGTCCAGTGAGTTACTGTACCTAGCCTCTTTGAGACATGGGACAGAGTGGCACTGCTGTGTCTGGATATAAATAAGCTTAAAGCCAGGCTGTTGGTCCAATCACATCACAGCTTGGAGTCTACTCCCATGCAGATCTATTGCACACCGCCTCATCTCATCAATGTTCAGGTTAAGGTCTAAGGGCACACCATTAAATATTACCCAATGTTTATTTAATGTGGTTTTACACAGTCAGTTACAGTAGTACTTGCACCTAAATAAAAGTAAAACTATTAAAACTAACGATTGTTTAATTAAACCAGTATGAATATTGCTCGTATAAAAATGAGGCTATCATTTCAATCATGAATCATTCATTTGATCTTAAAATTTGACTGAATTGTGGAGAATCAAACCAGCAATGTGTAGCATGTCTATATTGACAAAAGTTTAAACATTCATATTTGTGTAGGTGACCTCAGCAGCTTAGAGCTCGCTCAAGCAGAGTTTTACACATCCAAGAATTTCAAAAAAATTCCAGATCAAGCATCTAATTGAGATTAGCATTTATTTGTTAATACATATTAGCCATACCAGGCTAGTAGAGGAGACCTGCGTTTTTACTCTACTTTTATTTGAAGTTATCTTATGAAAAGTCAATAATGTATGATTTCACTTGATTGTGATTATGATTCACATTTAATCACTATCACTTTAGGGGAATATCAGTCACAGGAAGCACATTGGGTGATGTGATGAGTACTGTTGTGAAGAATTTATGATTGATATCATCCAATCAAGATCAAGATTTTTATGTATTTTTGGTGCTTTTTTCCCTTTGTTAGACAGGACAGCTTGAGAGATGGACAGGAAAGGGGGAGAGAGAGAGAGACCAGGCAGAGAGAGCAGACCTTTCACCTAAAACATGCTGAACAAAAGTTTGCAGTGAAAAGATGGGCTCACGTTGCAAATGTAGGCACAAGTGGAACCATTTGTTGTGAAGCTTTTCTGACTTTTTCAGAGACAAAAATCTTAGTTAAACACAATTTATTTTAGT